CGCTCTGGGTTAATTAGTAAAATGTGTATTAGTAGATCATTAATATAAAAAATATTTTCATTTTAAATAACCTTCAAAAGGTTGATAAACAATAAAAATATATATATATATATATATGTGTGTGTGTGTGTGTGTGTGTGTGTGTGTGTGTGTGTGTGTGTGTGTGTGTGTGTGTGTGTGTGTGTGCGTGCGTGCGTACACGCTGGGTGCGATGGATAAATTGACGTCTAAGTTACGCAAAAGTGAAAATAACTCTCATATCTCATTTTAACAGACATACTTACTAATATTACACAAAGATATTTTGAAATGCTCCAGAGCAAATTTATCCTTCAGCCACAGACTCCTGAATTTGTTGCAGAGGGCCTCAGACCCAACGAGGAAGCCTACATCTTGCCTTGGGTCAAGAGAGTGGATGCTGGACAAACCTTATATCTGGCAACACGACTCTGCACTATGCCACACAAGCAGGAGAACGCAGCCATGGCTGTCAGACAATTTCTGCAACTATATCACCCCTTACCACTGGCCACCTAATTCTCCAGGCTGCAAACATTGTGTGGGGCGCTGTTGAATAAGAGACGAACAAGACTCCTTGTAACAGTAAAGACGAACTGAAGGCAAGGTCTATGGCAGCATTCACCAAACCAAACACTCTCCAGAGGAGATGCTGGAGAGTTCAAAGTCGACTGGAGGCCGTGGTTGAAGCCAATTGTGATTTTATTGAAGAAATTTACACTTTAATATTTCCAAATATTTTGTGTAATTTTGGTGAATATAGCTGTTAAACCGAGATGTCAGCATTATTTTCATTTTCGCATAATTTAAAATAAAGGATGGAATACTGGGTATCAGTTCTGATATACGTCATTGAATCCTGGATAATTTGCGCCAAAATAAAAATAAAGGCGGGAAGCAATAGAAATGTGTTTCTACCGAAGGAAACTGAGAATACTATGAGCGAGGCATATAATTAATGAGGAAGTCGTAAAGAAACTAGAAGGGAAAATGTTACATGTCCAGAATCGTCAAGAGAAAGCTGTAATTTCTTGAAATGTGTAAGGAGAGGACTTAGACGTGTTGTAATGCTTAACAAGCTTCTTTCGTTAGATTAATTATGACTGTGTAATGAGTTCGATCCTCAATGAGTCCTCCATATTGTCGGCTTCTTGCAACATGTAAGCTACGCTTAGAATGTTACTATAAGTAATTCAACAGCAAAGTTTTCAGCACTGCGTTCCTGAACAAGTTTAAACGTTCTGCCTGAGCTCCTGTGTCAAAATTCGCAAATACAGTGTAACCCGGATATAAGAGACCCGGATATAAGAGAAACCCGGATATAGAAAGATTTTCTCTTGTCCCAAATTAGAGCCTGTGTTAATGTATATAAAATAGACCAAACCCGGATATAAAAGAAACCCGGATATAAGAGAGATTTTCTCTGGTCCCAAATTAGAGTCTGTGTTAATGTATATAAAGTAGACCAAACCCGGATATAAGAGAAACCCGGATATAAGAGAGATTTTCTCTGGTCCCAAATTAGAGCCTGTGTTAATGTATATAAAATAGACCAAACCCGGATATAAGAGCAACCCGGATATAAGAGAGATTTTCTCTGGTCCCAAATTAGAGCCTGTGTTATTCTATATAAAATAGACCAAACCCCGATATAAGAGAAACCCGGATATAAGATATATTTTCTCTGGTCCCAAATTAGAGCCTGTGTTAATGTATATAAAATAGAACAAACCCGGATATAAGAGAAACCCGGATATAAGAGAATTATTATCCGGTCCCGACAACTCTCTTATATCCGGGTTACACTGTAATTGTTATGTAGGATTTCACGGTAGATATTAAGATAATTACAAAAAATATAAGCATTATACTTAGCAGGGAGAGAGTATCATCGCAGACCTTCACTTTATCGCCAGAATTCTTTCTTTGTGTGCCAGTCTACCCGGCCGGTGTTGTCTCAATTGATACACTAGAATAGCAAAACAAGACGCAAATGTTTACCCACCGTTCGACCGGTGGCTGGGAATTAAGTCATTTTTCTCTGCCACTGGTAAAGCGGTGGTCAGGGATCAATGGGTTAAGCTTAGAAAATTATTTTGGACATTTCGAAGTGGTGTAATATTTAGCAAGCTTTTCTCGTTAAATCAATTACGACTAAGTAGAGATGCCCTATGCCTTCGGCTTTCTGCTAGCTGTGAGCTAAACATACTAAAAGAATGCAACACCTATCAAAGAGATGAAATTAAAATTCTTATTATTGCTTTATTCCAAAATTTTAACATAGCATCATATAGCTATTAATGCCGACAACTGAGCACAAATAATTATTAATCCCCCCCACCAAAAAATAGCATCTGTCTACATTTCTGAGAAGAGGTATTATGCGCACTATTTACATTATTCAAACATTTGTCTTCATCTTTGTCGCCATATTTATTACAATGTTTCGGCCATTGTACGCTCCTCAAAGACACATGACACAGTGAATAAAGGCGTTGGTTAGATCCAGTAACAGGACCCAAAGTGTGTGAGTTCAATACCCGGTTAAGGCAGTGGAGAACTTGGTAAGGGGAATTAACAGGAGATAACAGATAACTGACATCCATCAAACATGGCACGTGGAACTAGAACAGTCTACCCCAGTGAGCGAAATAAAGGGTTCAGTTAGATATTCCAACCACCTGAAGAAGGCTAGTGCGTACAATGGCCGAAACGTTGTAAAATAAGGTGACAAAGAGGAGGACAATAGTCCGAATAATGTAAATAGTAAAAAATAATAATCTCTATCTATAAAAGGCAAGATCTGTGTGTGTGTGTGTGTGTGTGTGTGTGTGCGTGTGTGTGTGTGTGTGTGTGTGTGTGGTTGTGTAACGAATGCACGGCCGCAATTTTTGAAGGATTTGCAACAAAATTTACATGCACATGCTCCAAGTTAGCGAGAAGGCCAAGACCGACATTGCATTTCCCTACTCTAATCAATAGTGAAAATAATCAATTTTTTCATGCTTCTACGACAGTTTTCATGTAGTTTGCGGCCATTTTCTACTGGCCAGAGTGAGAGCCTATAGATAGCTGCCACAAATAGGCAGGGAGATTCTATTGGCCAGCGTGAGAGCCAACAGCTGACTGACACGAATGTTAACTAGCATGCTAGCATGCAAAAAAATTCGATAGCTGCATTCGTCACAAGTGGGAAAAATTTAAATCAGCATGGCACTTTACTCCAATTGGATCATTCGCTTGTTTAAACTCAACGTTGATTCTGATTCCGCAGAACTGTGTTTTTTCATTCGGTTTTTCCAGTTACGAGCTGATCATTTTGTGTTCATTTTGTTTAGTTCTTTTTTCGTAACAGATTTAATGTTTAATATAGAGCTTAGATAAAATTCGCAGTGTGAGATAGGCAAGAAGTAAGGCATGTAGCAACATCAGCACGGCAAAGTGCACTCCTTTAAAGGAAGGGCAAAAATATTTTAAGTCAAGTGATAGCGATTGCTGTATGAGTCGTATGATTTTTGAATCAAGCACGGGCAACGCCGGGCCATGCTGCTAGTTAACGTATAATATAATCCATAACTACATGTAAAAATGTCGTTTTCAATAAAAAAAGTTAAAAAAAAAACAACATAAATACGTAAAAAATGCGTATATTTTCGCAAATTCCTTTTTTCACAATATAGCTATTTGTTCTATGATATAATGTTTATTGCCTCAACAATAATAATACTGTATAACTTTCTAAAGATTAACGTATATCTAATCATATATTCCTAATAGCTGTCGCTATATGTAAATCGATGTAATGATGAAGAACGGCTTAGAAATTTTAAGAGGTCTTATCGATCGCAAATATTGACGGAGTGGGGCAGTTTATTTTAATGGATGGTAGAATCGGAAGTGCTGCGCTGTTAAAAATAAAAACATTACCAGGGACTTGTTTATATATTTTTCAGCTAATACAAGACACAAGAGCCACTCAAGCTTTATGGTGTTGCTTGGGTGTAAGAAAGAGAAAGAAGTAAATTTCATAAGGTTATGCACGAAAGATAACGGTTAACCTTAGAATTGAAGTTGTCAAAACTGTAGTAAATTGGAAAACTGATAGGAATTGTTAAGATGCATGATTACTGGATGTAAATCAGGAGAGTTTCCGGACCAGTCTATAGTACTTTGATTTACTCAATGATAATGCCTCCCACTGTGCTCGTGCAGTGTTAGAATTTTCGTACGCTTCCTTGGAGTAACGCCCATCGCCGTAGGACAACTAATCGACAGTCGAGACAGTAGTGTCTTGGTGTAGTAAAAATCTGATGCAATCACGGATGTCGCTATATTTTTCAAGGTCAAACAAATTTCATCTTACACCCCAGAAAGTGATTCATATTACTACACAGCACTGCAAATGATCTAATCCGAAGAATATAGAATACATAGATTACATCCTGTCACTTCAGTGGGTCTAAAACTGACCGTATGGTGAAAGAAAGGAAACTAAGGCGGCTCGTTCAAGCAATTTGCACAAGGCTGTAGTACCAATCTTCCATTATGACAGTGAATCCTTGTATATTTTCTTTCAGATGAAATTAAGTCATGAGATATGGTTCTACACACACACACACACACACACACACACACACACATATATATATATATATATATATATATATATTGAAGACAGAGGGAAGCAGCTTAGGAAATAAACATTATTTTCACGTCATAGGAAGTTGTGGAGACCCATGATTGCCAAATTCCTGAAGTAACATGCCACAGAGAATAACAACATATGGTTACTAGTTAAAAAATAGAAACCCATCTATTTTAATGACCTTGGATTGGAAGATAAAATTTTAGGATTGAAATGGACGTGCATGAATAAATGATTTGTAATGTCTCTGATAAGAAAATGAAGAATCTTTTTTAATCAGGGGAAGTTTGCTTTCGCTTTCACTTTCTTGTTAAATTCAAATGTAAAAGTCTCCGTGATGTTTTTCTATTTCAAAATTATCTTTTCTTTGTTCACTTCTTTTTTATTTGCACCCTCACCACCACCACCACCACCATCACTATCAATACTTTTTTTTCTTTCTTCTGCTTTGTTATTAATTTTCAAAATCAGGTACTCATCAGATCTTGAATATTAGTAGCTTTCATCGATTTTGATCATCTCACCTTTCTTTTTTGTTCTTTCTTTTCTGTTCTAGTGGTGACTTTTCATTCGGCTTTTATTTTCCTTTCTTTCTTTTTTTTTCATTTTCTTTCTTTCTTTTATCTATCTATCTATCTATCTATTTTTTTTTTTTTTCTTTCTTTTTTTCTTTCTTTTTTTTCTTTCTTTCTTTCTTTATTTCTTTTTTCTGTTCAAGTCGTATCTTTTGGTTCTGGTTTTATTTCCCTTTCTTTTTTTCTTTGTTTCTTTCTTTCTTTCTTTCTTTCTTTCTTTATTTAATTAATTATCTATTTATTTATTTATTTACATTTCCAGCGATGAGATTAGTTTCTGTTTTTAATCTTCCTTCTTTCTTTCTTTCTTTCTTTCTTTCTTTGTTAATGTTTTATAATTATTTTTTTTACAATTCCACCAGTGTTTTATTTCTTTTTTTAATTTTCTTTTCTTCATCTTTCTTTCTTTCTTTCTTTCTTTCTTTCTTTCTTTCTTTCTTTTCAAGTCGTGTCTTTTGTTTGTGGTTTTTTTTTTCCTTTGTTTGTTTGTTTGTGTGTTTGTTTGTTTGTTTGTTTGTTTGTTTCTTTCTTTCTTTCTTTATTTATTTATTTACATTTCCAGCGAGGTGGTAAGTTTCTGTTTTTAATTTTCTTTCTTTCTTTCTTTCTTTCTTTCTTTCTTTCTTTATTTATTTATTTATTTACATTTCCAGTGAGGTGGTAAGTTTCTGTTTTTAATTTTCTTTCTTCCTTTCTTTCTTTCTTTCTTTCTTTCTTTGTATTTTCATTTCTTCATTCCTTTATTACTTATCTCTCTCCTATTTTCTTCCTTTCGTCCTTCATTCTTTTTCTTTTTCATTACCATTTCTTGGTTTCTTACTTTCTTTCTATTTCTTATTTCTCTCGTTCTTTTTCGTTTTTCTTTCTGTCTTTCTTCACCTGATACATGTATAATCTTTCCTTTTCTTTCTCAATCCCAACTTCCGGTACTCATGTTTTTTTTTACTTTCGTATCTACCATTATTGACTTTTTCATCTTTTGCATATTTTTTTCGTTCACCTTCCTTCTATCAATATTCCTTCCTTAATTCTTACTTGAAGTTTTTCTTATTTTCTGCAATTAAGTCGATTGTTTTTGTTCTTTTATTTTATATCACCTTTATCTATGTTATATTTGTTACTTTTCATTTTCCCCCGACGTCTTTTCTCTGTTATTTGTTTTATTCCATTGACCTGTTATTCCTCGCAAACAATTCTTATTCCATTCTCCTTTTAAATAAAATAACCTTATATCTAAACACACTATATCTTTTCTTTTGACTCTCTTCTCTTATTTCTTCTTTTCCTCCATTGTTCCTATGTTTTTCTTCTTTCTTTGTTTTTTTTTTGTTAGTGATTTGTATTCAGAAAATCTGAATTGTTTGCCATTTTCCTCTTCTGTTAATCTTTTTCGTCTCTCTAACTTTCTTTCTTAACGCGTTTATCACCCAATCGTAATAAACCTCACTCTTTCCCATTTAGGTCTAATTCTTACAAACCTTCAAGCGAACGGAAAATTTCAACCACGAAATAGCAAATATTTGCAACCGTTCCTGGTTTCAAAGAAATGCACAAGAACCGAATTGCCAGAAAAAGGCGTTTTTATCACTGTGGCAATATTGCCGGTTTTCAACATCCAATTAATCATATTAACTCCCACGTGGAAAAGCAGAATGTAGGGCCTGGTAAACAGCGTCCGCCATTATGAAATGGAGAATAATGGGAAAGTTGTTTTTTCTTTTCTTTTTTTTTTTTTTTTTAATTCATGGGTAAATTCCCACTATGCTATTTTCCTTATTTCTATTTCTTGCCGTTTGTTTTTTATTACTTTTTTGAAAATCACATTAAATATATACCTGCTCCACAATATTTTTCATGTTTTGTTATTCAATAAGGGCAAGAAAAAAGTCTTGCGTATTTGCCGTTTTTATTTATTGCCGGATAATGGCTGGCCGAAAACTGAGACACACCAACTTTTCTTCATTACAAAAAGGAAAAAAAATGTTAAAACTTGTATTTAGTTACTCCATACTTATTACTGAGGATCGGGCCCTTATGCAGTAGTTACGATTATAAGTCCAGAGATAAGGTTATATGTGACGCGCCAGAAGGTTTTCTCGTTTGGGTCCATCCTTCAACCCTTCAAATCAACCATTCGTCCTTGCATTAAATACTGTTGCCATATATCATCTGGTGCCCCTACTGTTCATCTCGAGGTTCTCGAAAAATATAAAGACGGCTATGCAATGTACTAGCATGTCGTCTACAGTCACTTTCTCACAGACATAATGTGGCTTCCTCTGTCTTTTCTACAAACATTTTCATGGCAACTACTTTGACGATCTGCCTTCACTGGTACCCCAGCTTCATGAATTTAAGTGTGCTACTAGGTTGGCATCTCAGTCCCACCCTTTCACTGTCGAAACTGTTAAATGTAACCGCCTCTTCTACTCCAACAGGTTCTTCTCTCGCACTTCCTGAAAGTGGAACTCTCTTCCCCTTACTTGCTCCCCTGATAGTATAATCTTCAAATATTCAAATATGATATAAATGTAGTGATCCTGATACCCGTCCTTCTCTATATCCTGTCATCTGTTATGGTGCAGGTTAGGACCAAGGAAGACACAACACGAACACAATAGTAGAAATAACGAAGGTATATTACACGAAATAATAATACAAGATGTGGAAGGTTTTAGTATTACAGTCAGTCTGGTTAGGAGTGAACTACTATCGGCTCGACTCGATTCAGTATCTAGCCACCCCTCACGAGGGTTGCATATGACACAAGGCCGACTTTAACGTGGGTTTCCCAAGTCCGTAGGCTCGGCCAAAAATGCCCGTAGGACCCGTATAAACGGGATCGGGTTGGTCACCCTCCCCAAACGAGATTCTGCCCTTCGGCGGAGCATCGTCCGGGTTCCTCTCTGCTCAGAGGCAGAGAGTTCGACCGTCAACCCGAGAAGCTCGAGTTGATTCGGTATTTAGCCACACCCCCACGAGGGTTGTATGTGGCACAAGGCCGAGTTTAACGTGGGTTTCACGAGCCCGTAGGCTCGGCTAAAAAATGCCCGTAGAACCCGTATAAACGGGAACGGGTTGGTCAACCTCCCCGAACGAGACTCTGCCCTTCGGCGGAGCCTCGTCAGGGCTCCTCACTGCTCAGAGGCAGAGAGTTCGACCGTCAAGACGAAAGGCTCGGCTTGATTCGGTATCTAGCCACCCGCCCACACGGCACAAGGCCGAGTTTATAGTGGGTTTCCTGAGCCCGTAGGCTCGGCCAAATAATGCCCGTATAACCCGTAAAAACGAGATCGGGTTGGTCATTTTCCCCAAACGGGATTCTGCCCTTCGGCGGAACCTCGTCCGGGTTCCTTTCTGCTCAGAGGCAGAAAGTTCGACCGTCAAGTCGAGAAGCTCGAGGGTTGCATGTGACACAAGGTCGTTTTTATCGTGGGTTTCCTGAGCAGTAGAGATCGCTCGATGCAACCAGAACTTCTAAGTCGTTTGCCATCTCGCTCTTCTCCCTTGTGAAAATCACTGCCGGCTTCTTGCTCTCCAGCCAACTTTGATCTTCAAAGTTTTCAATCGAACATCAATAGTTATCTTCATGTCTTCCTAAATTCTGTTCTTTTATTGTTCTCTCTCCTCAATAGTGTTTTCTTTTTCTCATATTCTCTAACACACCGTAACACCCTTGCTTCATAGTGGCTTCATTGCCTTTTCTTCGAGTGAAAGGTCTAAAAAAAAATAAACTAATGTTATAAGAGTGTGATGACTCCAAGCTACCGTCAACTCTCAAATTACACTGAGTTATTTAAAATCGATTTTGTATTGCTGTTAAGTGTAGTCTAAACCTAAATCGATTTCCTATTACCCTTGGGTGTAGACTAAACCTCATTTCATAAAGTATTGCTTTAGAATACTTCACCAGCCCGCATTGATTAAATTATGTCGCTTACCTCTCACATGTTTACTGAATGAAACACGTGAAAACACATTATATATATATATATATATATATATATATATATATATATATATATATATATATATAATATATGGAAGAGTTTATATGAGAGAGAAGTTTACTGAAAATGAAGAGTGAACAGAGCCGTAGACAAAATAAACACTTTTTTATAGAACGTACCATCTATTCAAATATGGGTATCCACTAAAAATAACGGTTGAATAATCAAAATGTGCATATATGGAAATATATTTTTTTAATCGATATTACCCCATGCAAGGGAGTAAAGTCACTAAGACACAAGTGTTTACAGGCTGTGGATGAATTAGGAACAAAACATTAATAATGATTTGGAAGAGGAAAGGGTAATCAGGAAGACACTAAATAGAGATTGACATTGCATTTAAATCTATGCAGATTACAGTTGCCTGGCAAGCATAGAGTCGGAAGTGTGTTTCTCAAGCGAGTAGAGCGAGAAAAGAGATTGTTAGCATAGAACTTACGGCTACACTAGCCAGATCAAATGTCAATTACTGGGATCTCGGTGCCAGTCTAATACTGCGCTTAAATTTAAAAAATGTGTAGATCCTATAGCGAAGAGATCATCCAAAACATTACCATACAGAGAGGCAACATTACGGCGGTGAGAAAGTGACTGAAGACAAGCTACTAGACCAGGACCAATAATAATTTCTTTGGATTTAATCAAAGAGCTCAAGGTTAATAACAAGGGCAGAGGACAATATGTGACAACAATATTCCAAGCATGGGCAAAGGATAGACTTGTAGACATGTAAGATCGATTCTGGGGAGAAAATTCGTCTCACAGCGAACCAACTTTTTTAGCAGCTGACCTAACAATGGATTCAGTATAATGTTTCCACTTCATGTCAGCTGAGTCACTTTCCTGAAGATTAGCATCAGTCATGCTGATGGAAGGCAAAGAGGGGTCCCTTAGAAGATTAATGGAAAGAATTTTAATTTTGGAGGCGTTAAAAATAACCAGACAACATTTGCTGCAGTTAACGACGTACTTGAGGTCGCTTTGGACATCAGCTGCTATTTTGGCATGTCTAACTGATCAGCCCTACTATCGAGGCATGAGTAAATGGCTGTTTCATCAGCATACATACAAAATTGAGCAGTGATGTCACCAGGAGACACAGGCAATAGTATGAAAAGATCTAGACGAGTAGCAATTCAGGATAACTTTCATTTCACGATTTGATACGAAAGACTGGATCCGTTATAAAATGTCTCCGTCTGGTGCAGAAGACCTTTATGTCAAACCCTGTCAAAGGATTTAGTGATGCCGAATGCTACAGCCCGTGCTTTTTACATTATATATATATATATATATATATATATATATATATATATATATATATATATATATATATATATAATCTTATAAATATAAGTAAAGTCGTCCGGAAAAAAACCTTATGTGTATTGGCTTATAAATAAACAAACCAACAAAAAGGGGAAAAAAGGAACAAAAAAGAAAGAACTAGGAACATGTAATTTTGGCGAAAATAATCGATCAGAATCCAAGATCAGAGTCAAAAGAAAAAAACGAACTCCGACCCGAGGAAAATAAAAATAACTAAGCAAATTGCTCAATACGGTAAGTAGACCAAATCTAACTATTAACCTAAAGAGCCAAGCAAATCTACCTAGGTTTCAGCTACGCGGATCGTCAGGGTACGATGGCCAAACGTACCCTAACGATCCGAGGAGGTGAAACCTAGTTAGGTTTGCCTGGCTCTTTAGGTTCATATATATATATATATATATATATATATATATATATATATATAAGCAGGAACATTGAAGTCAACTCTTAGAGGCGACAGACTATTTTATGCTAGGCACAATCGTCAGGCCACCTAAGTGTTGACTTCAATATATTTACACACGCTCTATCTCTGATACTGGACACTTTATCCCATAAATATAGCACAACTTAAGAGTATATTTCTTCACATATATATATATATATATATATATATATATGTAGAATATCTACATTCTGTCGGATTTATATCCATTTACACTTGCTTATATATATATATATGT